ATAATGCTTCTAATTCTTACTTGTTATCTTAATTGATAAAAATTAAAATAGTTTTATCTTCTAGCTGATAAATTTACAAAAATCTTGTTTATAACTTGTACAAATAAAAAGTAAATCGCTGAAGATGCCAGAGACTGTAAAAGTGACCGGGCTTCAAGTTCAAGTATGTTTATTGAGACAAAAAAAATACATCTCAAATGGCTAGAGTAGCTTAGGCTAAGACCGGGCTCACTTGCCTTGGTGCAGGTGAGAGGCACACTGGACACCACCATGATGGAGATGATGCCGACAAAAGCCAGACCAACAATGACTATGGCCACAATGTGATCTGCTCTAGTCATCCCCTCCCTTCCTCCTCACGCTCTCCCTCTGAAACACAGGACAAAATTATTATAACAACATAACAAAAGATCGCAACAATGCAGTAGGCTACTGGCCCATGTCAAACAGAAATACTACAGTAGGTTTACTGGCTCATGCCAAACAGGAAGAATATAGTAGGCCTACCGGCCCATGCTAAGTAGGAATACAATACTAGGCCTTCTTGCCCTTGTCAGACAGAAAATTGTTTCACAGCTGTAATGTGCGGTCACGTGAACTTTACAACCGACACACATACTCGTGGTGCACAGCCCACGGGAGGCCGATTTATGAACCTCATCTGCTGCTTCATATAAACATCTTTAAACAAAGTCCGCCTACTTACTATGATGGCAGTTGACAGTGATATTACTGCCTTCTACGGTGAGTCTGTCAATGGTCATATCAGCGGCCAGTGATACAAGTTGTGTCTGTTGGTTGTGCCATAACTGTGTGTGTGATGATGACGAGGACAGGTTGAAGGCTGTCCACCCACTTGGCAGACCCGGTGACACCGTCAGCTCATTCCTGGTCCTGCGGCCGTTTCTGACTCGTATGACAACCACTTGGCGCCGGGTGATGAGGAGGACATCGTAGTCGTATGGAATTGATGAGCCAACTGGTTCCATGATGATCGTCAAAAGAGGGTGTTCTAGCCCAGCCAGTTGTGCATCCTCTGCTAGCCACGCTGTCAGGTACACGTGGGACCCAGCCCAGCGGTCCTGCCATCTTGCTCGTGGCTGACATTCTGTAAAAGAACCAGAACCATAATACAGGTACTTTTGCTTGAACTCTGCTAGTAGTACGTTCCTGTGGAAACACGTACATGGGGGAATTGTGTAAAAATCCTAGTTTGTGTCTCGGAGAGGCTGCAGGATCCGAGTAAGGTCAGTAGAACTTCCGGTTGAAACTCTTTTTACCATGTCGTAGTTCAGTCGATTAAGACAGCGTCTGGGATTCTCTCGGACGTAGGTTCGAACCCTCGTCACGGCCCTTGTGGATTTGTTCATTTGATGCATCACGCTATTGTGATTTCTGTGTGTAACGTACATCACCATTCCTCATATTTTACCATATACACTCATTGGAACATATGCAATATATACATGAATATCCAATCTCAGAAAGTTTAACTATATAAATTGCTCTAAAATTTTATAAATTATTTAAATGTCATATTGAAATAGCTACTTCTACACCCCGGTTCATATACTATTAAACAATGGACAGTAGTTATTCGCCTCAGTGCATACCCGTGTGAACTATATCTAGCCCAAAGCATCGTTACATGTGATGTTACACGTTACATGCCTTGATATTGAAAACAAAATTTCCTGTGTAATTTGCCCTAAGAACAGAATATTGAACCACTTCTTGGTGAAATTTGCCAATGCACGATAATAACAAATTTTCACTTAGGGCATACATCTTACAAAAAATACAGTAGTTAAAGTTTGCATTTAGTAGTTAAAGTAGTTTAAAAGTGAGCATTAATGTCTTAATGGTTCAGTTTTTAAACTGTGTGAATGATGACAGTGAACGTTCTGTAAACCAGCTTATCACCATGCAATTGATTGCATTTTCTGTTTTGTTAATGTTCTTTTCCAAAGAGGAGATAAAGTTTATCCTCACTGAAGAAATCTATGGAGACTGTAAGCGGGTTCAGTGGTGGTGCCGACACGTTGTGGATTCTGACGTCATTCATAATGACGATTCGCTGCTGGAATTCACGTCTGAGGACGAGGAAGAATGTGCATAGCTTTTCACGGCGGAGTTTACTGATTTTACTTGATTGATTATTACTCCTGGGATTGATCGAGCGGTTTATAAGGTAATAGATCAAAGATCCCTCTATATTTCCGGTTCCAATTATTCTTTTGTACACATACTGTGTGCTGTAATAATTACAATACCCTTCATTATTTTACTATGTATATGTATACTAATCGTAGCATGTGGAAAAATAAATATAATGATTGAAATCAGTCTGGTACCGGCCATTAATCTTAGGTTATGTGGTTTGGTTATGTATAGCAAATAAGTCAATATTTACCTGATTGCGACTCTATAGTGGCCGTGGTAGGAACAGGAAGTCGACGGCTTACGGAAGGTCGGGTATGGGGGGTTAGATTAGATAAAGCACAGCCGAAAAATATTTTTCAATGATCTCACACTAGGTGTTTCTGGACATAGTTTAGGCTGTTCGTGCGTTTTATGTTGCAAGACAAAAAATGTCTTGTTCACATACACGATATTGTTCTTGTGAGGACGGGCTGCTTTGTACACTTATAACACGCTTTTCATAAACATGTATATCATATGACACAAACATGAACACCCACACGTGTCAGATCACACGCACACAGAGCTCAACCCCCGCAAACACAACTAGGTGAATATTTCTTTACCCCTGATGCTCTGTTCACTTAGCAGTATACTGGGATCGAGTTAGACAGCTGTTACGGATTGCATTTTGGGAATGTGTGAGAGAGAGAGAAGTATATGTAGTACATATGTAGATATGATAAAGGTAAATAGGTCGGGAGTAAGTACACTAAATCAACCGACAGTTAAAAAGGCGAGGTCCAAGAGCTAACAGCCATCCATCTTGATGGATGGAAATTTAAAATGGTAAGAGTTGCTCCATACCTTGTGGTACGTCGGAGCCTGCTGCTGACACCATCATCGTCAGAGCCGCTACAAGTGTTGCCTTCGTTACAACACTTCTCATCTTGACATGATACCTGCAGCGTCTGGTAGGTTATGGTCGCGTTCTGTGGTGCCTGGTGGTAGACTGTGGCGGCTGGTAGTGATCTGTGAGGCTGGATGGCAACCTGTAATATTTTACCGGGTGGTGTCCTGTGATAGGCTACCTGGTAGTCTCCTGTGGTAGGCTGCCTGGTAGTGTCCTGTGATAGGCTGCCTGGTATAGTGTCCTGTGATAGGCTACCTGGTGGTGTCCTGTGGTAGGCTGCCTGGTGGTGTCCTGTGATAGACGGCCTAGTGGTGTCCTGTGATAGGCTGCCTGGTAGTCTCCTGTGATAGGCTGTCTAGTGGTGTCCTATGATAGGCTGCCTGGTAGTGTCCTGTGATAGGCTGTCTGGTAGTCTCCTGTGATAGGCTGTCTGGTGGTGTCCTGTGATAGGCTGCCTGGTGGTGGTGTCCTGTGATAGGCTGCCTGGTGGTGCCCTGTGATAGGCTGCCTGGTGGTGTCCTGTGATAGGCTACCAGGTGGTGACCTGTGTTAGGCTGCCGGTGAAGTTCCCTGATGACCTGTGGTAAATGACTTATGCTGTGGCGAAGGCGCCGGGGCGGATACAGACAAGTTAGACAAGGAAGTAAGCAGTACGTGACATTATCTTCCCGGGGATTATGATACAGTCAGGGTTGTCATTCTCACCTGATAGCACACTCAATTTTTGCCACACTTTTTTTTATCTCTTACTAAATAGGTTTAAGTAATTAAGGAAGCATGGTGTATATTATATTGTGGCGCCACACCCATTGTAACTCGTCAACTCTGGATGACAATAATAATACTGCTGCTGCTTATAATAATAATAAAATAAATAATAATAATGCCTTTATAAAATTGTATAAAGAATCGTTCATAACCTTCTATACCACATATATCACACGCATCCTGTAGTATGGAGCTCCAAGGTGGAGTCCATACCTAGTCAATCACAAGACGAAGTTCAGAGGTATGCCACCAAACTAGTCCCCGAGTTGAGAGGTATGAGTTACAATGGTAGGATGAGGTATGACTTATGATGGTAGCTTATTTTTTTAGGTACCTTACCTTGAGGTTACCTTGAGGTGCTTCCGGGGCTTAGCGTCCCCGCGGCCCGGTCGTCGACCAGGCCTCCTGGTTGCCGGACTGATCAACCAGGCTGTTGGACGCGGCTGCTCGCAGCCTGACGTACGAGTCACAGCCTGGTTGATCAGGTATCCTTTGGAGGTGCTTATCCAGTTCTCTCTTGAACACTGTGAGGGGTCGGCCAGTTATGCCCCTTATGTGTAGTGGTAAAAAAAAGTATATACATACAGAATGCGTTACAAGCAGAATGTTAGATTAATTGATAGATTCATTCTACCCCGGTGGAGGCAGAAACAAATTGGCAGAGTTTTTTCACCCTCATGTCCCTGTTCACTTAGCAGTAAACAGGTACCTGGGAGTTAGACAGCTGCTACGGGCTGTTTCCTGGGAATGTGTGTGTGAAAATTAGGATTAGGGACCTGCCCAAACGCTATGCATGCTTGTAGCTGTACAAGAATGTAAGAACTCTTGTATATATAAATAAATACAAGAATGTAAGAACTCCTGTATAAATAAATAAATAAAAAAGTCAACCTCTCACTTAAATCATTAACCTGTCCTTTGGCAAAGGGGGTCCTTTGACAACCCGCTAGCTTCCTGTCCTCGTCGAGACCACTAGAGACATAGTGGCTCTCAGGTAAATTCAGGAAAGATACAAGATACAGCCTATCAACAAAATATAATAATAATTAGCGATTCCATCCATAGAAAGTGGACGGATTAGAGGACAGGCTGATGGTGCTGCCACCTATTGATGGAGCGCAGAGTCTGTGTGTCAGCCTCCACCTTGCCAGTTAGTGATAATATAATATATCTGACCATCCTGGGGGGGGGGAAGTTTCCCATCTTGGGCGCGCTAATGTGTGATGTTGTTTGTTTACCTGAGGAGTGGCGGCAAGTGCGACCGGCTCTCAACACCTCTTAGAGTGGGACTCCTGGCCACGAATCTCGACTAGACAGCATAGACTGAGGCGAGTATGGTGAAGGATAGTTGGTAGCTAACTAGGTACTTCCTTCCTAACTAGCCAGTTACGAGCCACTTCCTAACTAGCCAGTTACGAGCCACTTCCTAACTAGCCAGTTACGAGCCACTTCTTAACTAGCCAGTTACGAGCCACTTCCTAACCAGCCAGTTACGAGCCACTTCCTAACCAGCCAGTTACGAGCCACTTCCTAACCAGCCAGTTACGAGCCACTTCCTAACCAGCCAGTTACGAGCCACTTCCTAACCAGCCAGTTACGAGCCACTTCCTAACCAGCCAGTTACGAGCCACTTCCTAACCAGCCAGTTACGAGCCACTTCCTAACTAGTCAGTTACCTAACTGGCCAGATATGGACCACTAACATTAGATGGTTCATTATTGGATTTTAAACGTAACCAAACACACACAGGGAGGTTAGTTTATTGTTAAATGGTCCTTACTGAGATAAGGATTGGATTAGTTACCCATAGACAGGGACAGGAAGCCAGTTAGGCTTATTGAGATCCCACTAGACCATCTACTGACCTTTTCCAGGATGCAATCCACAACAGTTGCCTAACTCCTCCTCTTTATAGCATATTACATTTGGTGATAATTATGATATACTGACTGTTATAATAATCTGAGTTTTTCATTTCAGAGGAAACGTATCATAATGAATGAACTGCTTCCACCAGAAGAATTTCCATTCCCCTTTCCTCCCTATGATATTCAGAAGGATTTCATGACGCACTTATTCTCAGTACTGGAGAAGGAACAGCTTGGAATATTTGAGAGTCCTACAGGGACAGTAAGTGTTGTGTTGGTGGTTGGTAGTAGCACTTTAGCTATTTGACAATGCATTTTTTGTATCGTCTGTAATTCTCGGTAATCTCTCTGATGACACTAAAATGCATCATATAATCTCAAATTCCAAAAAGCACTTCCTGCCTTTGTGACAAATCTAGTGAAATGCACGAGCACTGCTCTATAAACTCCTGATGAGCTTATCAGGAGACTTATCACTCCCTCATGACAATAATTGCCCTTCCTGCTCATATGTTCTCATCACTATGCAAATTACCTGACAAAAAAGTATGCAAGTAAAGTTTGTTTACTTTTTACAATGATTTAAATTTATCATATGTGAACATCCATATTTTTTTAATGATAAAGAATAAATGAGGAATGGTTAAATGTTTATAAATTGTCTCATATTTACCAATATTGATCATGAACCATAATTCTCTTTTATTTTTTCACCTATACTGTACTCTAGAGCATTCCTTTCAAAACACTTTTACACAAAAATCATAATTAAAACCCCAAACAAATTTTGGAAAGTTTAAAAAAGGAGAAAAAAAAGAAAAGTATAAACATTTTACACGTTAACACTTTCGCGCTCTCGGCGCTCAAAAAAAAACAATACCCCAGATGCTTTCGGCACTTCGCGTGCCTACGCGGTAAGACCGAAAAAGTGTACACTCTTTTGACTGTCCTGACAATAATTGAAGGCGCACGTATTTAAATTTGGTATCACTGTGTTCGCAATGAAATTGTCTATAAGAGCATACCTATAAAATGCCGCCCAAGCATAAGGAGTATCAACACCAAATAAAAAACTATGCAGATCACTCGCCGAGAGCGCCAAACAGCAACAAAATGTTTCCAGTCTCTTAATGGTAGCGAAGCCTACAGTTGTCCTACATCGCTAATTTTGGTATCATTGGAATCGCAATAAAATTCTCTACACGGACATATGCATATGAATGTTTAATATAGGTAATTGCCCACCCGGAAGAGAGTGTGAAGTGGAGAGTAGTTAGCCGCGAGCGCACTGGCGAAAACACAGGGTGGAAATCATGCTTGGAAAGTTTATACGTTTCCTGACCCTACTTTTCTATGTACGTATTTCTTTTTTATACCAATGTGTTCGCAATAAAATTTTCTATAAGATGAACTGTATAACATTTGTACAAAGCATGTGTAAGAGAAGCGCCAAATATAGAACCACGTCGCTCAGTATGCGTTCGCGGCAGAAACGAACGCATTGTTTTCGTTCGTTTGATGTTTGTCATGTTTATACTTGTTGAAACATTTTATAATTTGTATGACAGTGATCGCAGTAAAATTCCCTACACAGACATATACATAACACATACAAATATTTCCCACGTGTTGGATATATCAACGGCTAAAGGGAACGCACTGCCACACGCTCGCCACACCCCCAAACATACTTTGTGTATTTTTTTGTTTACTCATAGAAGTTTATGTGATATAATATTCATTCTGGTACCAAAAAATTCGCAAATAAATTCTCTACAAAACAAAAGTATCCCCCATCCATTTCGGTTAAAAAATGGAATTTATAGAAATATTTTTTCGATGGACGAGAAAAGTAGGCAGTTATGCGGAATCGTAAGAAAAAACAGCGACGAGTTATCTCTAATATAAAGCGCGAAAGTGTTAAGCAGGGCCTGACTGTTTACCACCAGGCATGCGCTAGGGGCAATGCACATCCACGCACATATTAAGAAGTTCCTAATTTAGTAATTATAAGTTTTCATAATCACCCATTACATTCAAAGGTTAGTGATATAGGCTATTAAAAGCTATATATGCATAGCTGCATTATTTTTAATATCTAAATGAAAATTGAAATTAATTAACTAATGAGTATGTATATCTTACTTGTGCTATTATTAAAATCTCTGGTTATTGTTTGAGAATGGTGAAGCTTTTCTCATTACTTTGATCTTTTGATCTGCCATTACTTTATATCCCACAGTGTTCTATAAATCCTTGGTTTAATTTATATAGCAGTATTCAGTAAGTAATAAAAAAATATATATATTTTGTATTTGGATAACACCAATTAACTGTGGTTATTGCTTGAATACCCCTCCAGTGCTATCCCTGAATAATGTCTCTCCTGCTAACTTCGCCCCTTCCACCACATCCCTGGATAACTCCTCAGATAATATTACCCAACAAAAACCCTGAGTAATCCCCTAACGGTAGAGCAACGGTCTTGCTTTTTGGCATTCAATCCCCGACTGTCTCAAGTGATTGGGCACCATTCCTTGCCCCTGTTCTGTCCCAAATCCTTATCCTGACTCCCTTCCAAGTGCTATATAGTAAATGGCTTTGCACTTTCCCCTGATAAGTCCCTCCCTCCCTCTCCTACTGCTAGCCTCACCCCTCCTACAAAATCCTTTAAAAAATAGCTTCCTCATGCTAGCCTCGCCTATCTTATAACAACCTCAATATCTGATGCACTTTTTTATATAAATTATTCTCCTTCAGGGAAAGTCACTGAGCTTGATATGTGGTGCACTGACATGGCTGAAAGAGCACACTCTACATTATAAGGTTTGTAACTCAGTATCTGCTGTATGCACTGTACAGTACTGTACTTGGAAAATATTATTCTTAATGTATATTAATTGTTAATAACACTATACAGGTAGTTACTTTCATTGAGTTAGTCAATTGGATATTCTCATTTTTGAAGGCCTGTTGGATAAAGAAAGTACAGTATGTAAAAACGATATTGAAAATCTCATGATAGAAATTGGAATATACCCTCCTATAAGATTAATAAAAATGATCTTAAAATATATTTTTGAGTGGGTTCTTCTCTCAAACTATCACATTTTTTATATTTAAACATGCAGCAGATCATGACAAACTTTCTTGAGACCTAAGTGCTTGCAAACTAATCTTGATATTTTCCTGAAATGTTTACTTATTTAGGCTGCCAACAACAAAAAGCCTTATAATCTTTGCATTTGCTATTGTATTTATAGATTCCACAGAGGATCCTTTTCAATTATAAGTCATGATTGCTATTTATATACATGATGGCATTTCCCTTTATAAAATAATATGAATTCGAGGAAAATTGTGGCACACCAAGTCTGAATTCTCATAGGAGTTTATTTACTTTATTTACTTATTGTCATTATTTACCAGGAATTGTCATTTGACAGTGTTAACCAAAAAAAAGTTGAGTCACTATAATAAGGTTCTAATTATCAGGCTGAACTGATGAGGAAGGTTAAAGAAAGTGAAAATGTAAACGATGATGATGGCCCTGACTGGTTCATGGCAGCCACAAAGAGGCGTGAGGAACAAGAGGAGGCGAGGAAATATCGACAGACACTCGAGTTGCTGGAGAAACAGGAAAAGAAAGTGCAGGCCCTGAAGGAGCGACGGCAGGTTATCAAAGTGTGTTTGAAAGAGGCATTTTATTGTTGTATTAATATTCTGCTATCCACACAGATTCTCCTATCACTTTATTAATCAGTCGATAACAATAATTTTCAATCTGTTTTATCAGATAATTATATATACAGTACTGTATATAAAATGTATTTTAAAAATCTGCATACAAATGTGGGAAAGCTATGTGCACATAGCCCGAAAAGTTGTGCAGACTTGGCAGCCTTATAGTAAAAAATAACAATGCTATACTTTGTATCAATACAATGTCATAACCATTGCATATATTATTTAGAAATATATGTTATTATCAAATTAAATGTGGCATATTGTATTTGTTAAATTTAAGGTTTTGCATGTCTATACCTTAACTTTTATTTGTTAACGAATATTATTTTAACCTCAATATTCTCCCTAACCCTCATGTTTCTGAAGAGAACATCACATAGCATTGGAAAATAATTTATGGCAAAATGTTTGCTGAGCTTCATTGTTGGTTGGATTCTTAATTCAATTAAGTGATTCTCAAAGTGACCATTGCTGGTCACTTCTTAATTCTACTTTGCATCAACAATGGGAATGTTGTTACTGAAGCATACGACACTTGGGATGTTTTAATTAAATATATTATTGTAGTACAGTATACTGTATGATTTAGTTATGTTTTGTTCATTCTTACAGAGGTCAAAGGTGCAGAAAGTTGATGATGAATTTGAAGAATTGTTCCGTGATCTGCACGAAGTTCAGGAAAATGTTCGACGAGAATTGAGCTCCATTAGTGGTAAAAGATATTTTATATACAGTATTTTAATTTTATGTCCATTAACTAAGGCTGCTTGCTATCAAATGTTTACTGTTTCTTTGCCAACCTGTCTTCTGATTGTTTTCCAAATAGAGCACTAATCTAAACATGTCTTAACAGTATTTTATCTTCAAGAAGATAAAATACTGTACTCATTAGCTATCACTTGGCATGAGTTTGGATGATGTGAATTTCTGACCTGCATGGTTTTTTAATATAAAATTTGAAGTGAGTGTGTATTTGTCTGTATAGTAGGGAAGCTAATATGTAAAATTCATGTAACCTAGAGGTTTTGGGTTGTGAAGGCCACATACTGTACCACTTTCTGACCTTTTAACTTCTTACAGTTATCTTAATTTGATCAAAATGTTTTATGTCTTGAAGATTATATGAGACAAATGCATTCTCTCTGAATTATGTATGGATTGCAGTGTTGTATCTCTAGTTGATAAAAGTATATTCCACAGGTGAAGATATGATGTCACCCGAGGAGACTTCTTTGTTACTGGATGACTACAACAGTGATAATGAGACAGAAAATGACAGATATGAAAATGCAGATGAAGATGATGGCAGTTGTTTAAAAGTAAAGGTTTCCCATTTTCTTATCAGTATTGTACCACTTTGTTGTTTTGTAGGGAAAATGTCCTGCTCCTCTTAAGAACATGACCAAATACAGGCATGTCAACTGTGCTCTGTTATAGTGAGGATTTTTTTTTCAAACATCCCCTCTTAGCCAGAAGGAGCAGGGAAAATTGGAGATAATCCATTTCTGGTTGACCCCCCTAGAAGTTTAGCCATCTGTATTCAAAACCACCTCCAAGATCTACTCAGCATCAGAGAGAATGCTGAGTAGTGCTCTACTATCCCAAATCAGGTATCAACACCTAAAAGTCAATAGTGTAGCAAAAAGCTTCCCACCTTAAGTTTAGCCTGACTAAAACCCTGGGCAGCGCATATGAAATTATGACAAAATGGGCAGGATTTGGAAGAACCAAGTGGCCTCGGGAATTAATATTTCATTTACACTCGAGGCCTTACTTCAGAGCAGTTGGAAGTATTAACCAGGGAACTCGAGTAGCAGTTAGCAGAGTGCTTCTCCACAGTCCTTTTTTATAGTAATTAATGTGCAAGGGTATAAAGGATGACTTGCTCTGGCTATGCCTGGACCTAATCTTGGAAAGAGCTGGATGTGTGTAAGGTAACAAGCAAGTGGCCTGAGCAGAAAGGAGATTTTAATCTACACTCGTAGCCTTATTTTTGTGCTTCACACGATGCATATTCCACACTAGTGCTGCATTTTTAAGTTCTTTGTATGACAGGTCATGTCAACTGTGTTCAGATTTTTTATTTGGGGTTTTAAATGCTATTATTTCATATACTATACCAGCTAATGTTATTCTATATATATTGTGCAACCTCAAATCAATGAACTACTGTATATAGTACCAATCCCGATTCTTTGGAACGAGGATTCATTGCAACTAGAGATGCCTTCAGGAGGTATTTGCGAGTTTGTTTTTTATACTTGGAAAAATATTTTGCTTCTCCTGTTTCTTTTAGTGTAGCTTCCATCTACATAGATCATTAAAAATGTGATCGAAAGCATTGCCATTCATGTCCTAATATTTCTAACACACTATGAGCTAGTTTTCCTGAGTAAAAGTTTAATTTTTAATCTCATGTGAGGGGACATTTGCTACAAAAACTTGTCTATAGAAATCTCACTACATCGAGCATATTTATTATTATTATAATTATTAAATTCAATTATATCATATTGTTACGGCCCTCTCGGGTCGCAACCGGGTTCTTTCTCTGATGTTAGTAGAGTAAGGGTATCCGGCCCCAAGCTAGTAGTGGCTTTCAAGGGGTGTGCTCTGTAACGCAAGTAAATTAAAGGGGAAGGGAGACAAAGGCAAAAACTTAATAATATAATTATTACCATCACCATAAATAATATATAGATTATCACACGGGGGAGGAATAAACACTATTATGTACAACGTGGTCTTCCTCTGAAGACGCGGAGTGTTCCACAGTGCTCAACGATGCTAAGCCCTTGGTCCTCTTGTGGCCTCACGATGAATCCTTCGATTCTCTTGAGTCTACCCTGGCCACAGGCCAGCTAAATCACAGTTCCACTGGGGGCACCGTCGTGGAGGCCGTCAACCACAAATCCAGCCTGTAGCTGGCAGGTTCCAATCAGCAACGCTGCGTAGGCCACTCCACGACCGATACTAGGGTTGCGAGCCCTAGTCAGGAGCCTCGTGTGATCCCACAGATCACTCTCCTCACCACAACACCCCAGTGGTTAAGCGTCTCCACCAGTCAGCCCCGGGTACGACAATCCCTCAACTGCCACGTCACAGGCAGGCTAACACCACAGTGTTCATCCGGGGGGTGACTCACAGCTACTGCAGCAAACACGTGGAGACTCTTCGACTGCCTTGGGTAGACTGATCCAACTTCCATTACAGCAGTCCCAGGTCGACTGTAATCAGACACGTCATCAGTACCGGTTACACTCTAGGGCACCTCACTTACAGGCTTAGACACAAACGCCCACCTATCCACTCCATAGATGGCGTTGCTGTCTAAGCGTCACCTCACCAGAGGTCAGCAGCGGCTGTGTTATGAGCAGATCAGGACGGGAAACTAGCCCTTGTGGCCAGTATTTCTCGTCCTCACTAGATGGCGTCGTCCATTTGGAGGGGGTTTCGGGAGCTGACCCACAGATGGCGTGGTCGCCACTGCTCCGTGCTCGGACGCTGGGCTCGGGTCCGTAACACATATGCCCTAGCCTCCAGGTCTCTATGATATGATGGACAACATAACTACAGGCCAGTGAACTCTGCCTCTGCTTCCTAAGCAAATTCACACATCCCAGACTCTCCAAAACACTTTTTTTTCCAGTCATCTGGCCAGAAAATTGTGGGTTGCAACCAGAGATTTTGATGCACACTTTATTCCCCTATGGTTTAAATAGCCAAGTGCTGTATTAGAATTTTTGCCCTCACACCACTTACCACTGCAGCTTGCTTTTTCATTACAGAAAAAGCAAAACCATAGTAAAAAAATTTAATATATATGGACAGTCAGTATTAATGATGCTGGGTTAGTCCAGATTTTCTGCACAATTTTCAAAGTTTGGTTTGCTGATCCAAACTTTAAAATATTGTATCCATTGCCAATTTTTTTTTTTTTTTTTTTTTTTTTTTAAGGCTTTTGACACCTAGACAAGTGTTGCTAATTTTTTGCTGAAAAACATTAACCAGTCCTAGAAATTAATAAATAGAATAAATTGTAGAAAATGTAAATTATATACGAACAATATATATTTTTTGCAGATTTATTTCTGCAGTCGCACGCACTCTCAATTGTCACAATTTGTGCGTGAGGTGCAGAAGACGGTGTTTGGTGAAGATGCCAGAGTGGTGTCTCTGGCATCTCGGCAAAACCTGTGCATTAATGAAGCAGTCGGCAAACTTGGTAACATGTCCCTCATTAATGACAAGTAAGACTCGAGCTGACCCTTGTTTAGTTGTCAAATTAAAATTTGTATTTTTCCTAACTATCTTTGACTTGCTCTAGGGAGCAACTAAATACTAGTTTTCATAAATCAGATTTTGAGAATGTTGAAAAACTCTCTTGGGGGCTATATTTTCTTGGTCATTAGTGTACAGGCAGACTTATTAATTGAATGCTAGTTAAGCAAAGAGTACAGTTTAACATATATTTCCACTTGATAAATTGTATATTTTTCTTATAGATGCCTAGATCTGCAGCGTGGCAAGAAAGGTCAAGCCACCAAGTGTGAGGTGGATGGTACCACTAGCAAGAAGAAGAAGCGTTCATCCGGTTGCCCATATTTCCGACAGAGCGGTCTAGAAGGCTTTGCTGATCAGGTTTGGAAACTCGTTTAGACACACCAGTATTTTGAAAATTTATTTTCAATAAGATTTAAAATTATCATTCATTTATTATTACAACTCCATTTCCCACTGTGAATTAAGGTGTTGTGTAATTTTCCAATCTTCTGATTTAGTGACTTACACTCTCAGATTAACTATTTCTAATTCTTGATTTTTCATGTTCATAACCTACCACTGTCTTGCATCCATACATAAGAATAAGCACTACCTTTTTCCAGCCCTTGGGCTTTTCATTACTTCAATTTTAATTTTCATCCACATCATTTCAATCTTAATTTTCTAACCAAACCTCTCATTGCACCAGCCACTTTCCTTCCTGACTCATCCTGAGGCCAGATTCACAAAGGAGTTATGCAAGTACAGTACTTATGAAGGTGTACCTTTCCTCAATCTTTGATGGCTTTGGTTATATTTTTTAAATATTTTACAAGCATGAAAACTTCCCAATCAACTGTTGCTATTGTTATAAACAGCCTCCTGGTGCTTCTGAGCTCATTAACTGTTTAATAATTGTAAACAAAGAAGCCAAAGTTTGAGAAGATGTACAGGTTTGTAAGTGCATGGGTAACTGCTTTGTGAATCCTGCCCCTGCTCTCTTCCTCCTTTGCACGGTCCTTTAATGTCAGTCATACATCCCAGGTGTTTAAACTAGTTGACTACTTCCAACCCTTCATCATTCATGTGTATGTTACAAACTTTACTCCACCACCATAACTCTGCTATTGTTTGCATCCACTTTTAAGTCTTCTCTCATTCACATAAATACTAATTTGAGCTAGTCTATATAAATCAATCACTGCTAAAAAAATTTATCATCTGTATACATCAAATGTGATATACCAGCGCTCAAGTTATGTGTTACTTTAGGTTTACACTTCTCTTGACATTCTTACCTTGATCTATTGTAATGCCATCCATGTATATACTGAGCCACTAAGGTGACATTACACATCTCTGGCAACTACCCACATTAACACCAAATTAGTCACTCATTACATCACTAGATCTTGTATGTGTACTACTACTACTACATCAAAACTTTTCAAGGAATGTGTGTAATTTCTTATAAAGAATTTCACATGTTGGTATGGTGATAATGTAAGTAAAGATATTTTTTGTTTTGTATCGACAAGAATTGCCTCATGATGTGAGAAAGTTGAGTGGAATAAATGGGAAGCAAATACAGTACACAAGTTCATCTGTAAAATGTAAGACAATGAGATTTGGCTACAGTATTCATTGATAAGACAATGTAATGGTGGAAGAATTTAAATGCTTTGCATGTTTCATGGTACAGATACTGCAGTATTATTTTTGCCCGACTTAAATATTTCAACAAAGTATCAATGAACAATTCATATATTTTCAACAGTTACTCCTAGAAGTTCAAGATATAGAGCAGATGGTTGGCCTTGGAAGAAAGACCAAAAGTTGTCCATACTATGGAGCAAGATATGCAATCAATGATGCTCAGGTAAATTAGTATTATGAAATAACAAATAACTGTTGGCTGTCATTTTTTTTATATACTGTATAACTTTATAACCCCAATTTGTTTACTTCCACCAGCTGGTTGTGCTCCCATACAACACACTTCTCCACAAAGGCACAAGAGAAGCTAGTGGCATAAAATTGAAAGGAAATGTTGTCATTGTTGATGAGGCTCACAATCTCTTGGAAACAATTTCCAATATACATTCAGTGTTTGTCAGCCATGGGCAGGTGAGCAATACTTATTTCTTGTTGTTTGTCAGTTTTGAGATAATGCAAACAGCCGCATTAGAAATTGTAATGTGTTCTTTTAAGATAGTGTAAGTGTTCAAAATATTTTCCAGTTGCGGGGAGCTCATACACAGCTGAGCCAGTACATGCAGCGTTACAGCAAGAAGTTGTCTCCAAGAAACTTGTTGTATATCAAACAGATACTCTTTTTTATGAATGCTTTAATGAAACTGCTAGTCGGAGGTAAGTTTGTTTTTTAATGTTGCAGATCTCGTCGATACAATACTTGTAATGCTTGATAATGTGAGTGCAGTCAGTTCATAATTTATTGTACTATAGTTTGATTCCCAGGCAAGACTAGACATTTGGATGTGTTTCTTTACACCTGATGTCTATATTTAAATTTAGTTTTCTTATGGAATAGCAGATATCTCTGAAGGTAAGTAAAATAAAACAAAAATTCATGTATTGTATCATACCTTTTGTGTTGGTCTGATGACATCTGTGCTGTAGATCAGCCACATAATCTCCAATTAAATGAATACAAAAATATTTGTATTCATTTAAAGTAAAGGATCTGTATGCAAAATAAAGAAAAAATCAGTACATAAATATCTTCCTGTGTGTTGATCTGGGAAGTGTGCACTATAAATCTACATTCTTCCTGGGAATGGAGCTGAAGAGGGCACACCCTTCATCATGGCTGTAAAGATTATAAGACAAAAAGGTAATGTCTACCTGGGTCTTGAAACTATTGTAACTTGCAATGATTATGTTGTATAATGCATCCCATAATTCAAGGTATGTCTCATACTTGCAGTATGACTTATACACAAAATTCTTGCCGAGTATCAAGGGATACTCGGCAAGATTAATCAGTACAAACCTTGCATGCCAAATTACCTTTCTCAGACATTTACTCTCTCAACACTGGCCACCTGTGCAGGTAGCCTGCCTTCACATTTTGGCCAGTAGTACCTCAGACATAGAACTGCTCTTTCTAAAGTCATTCCTCACACAAAAATGCCAGAGACAGTTAATATATCCACAGACCTCTTTACTTTACAAGTTAAAAAGATATATTTAAAAATAATTGTAAGATGATATTACATTATCTGTTGCATTTTTATAAAGATCAAAGTCTTGTTTTTAGGCAGCTTTAATTTTGTAACACTGCACATGACAATGTTACCTTAGCTCTTCCAGTTAATGTAATGAACCTTATTGCTATTGTTATTTAAGGATGCACTGTACTGTATACATATTATATTATTAAAAGAAGTTTTTGTTTTAATTTCAATAAACGCTACAAAAGCTAGAGTAAACATAAAGTAATGGGCTTACACTTTAGTCAATCAGAGCAAATTAGAAGGGTTGGATATATTTTTAAAAGTATTATAATACTTTAGTTGTATTACTCAAATTTAGCACCAACCTTTAAAAATTGACTTTCCTTCTCTTACATTTTCTAGGTTCTAAAGTTTGTACTGGCTTGGCCACGGGTGATGTGAGAAATGCTGCTACCAATGCAGGTAGCAATATCCCCACATCGCAGATGCTCACCGTGTCAAAGTTTTTATGTGATACCCTGACGGACAACCTTAATATTTTCAAACTCTTGCAATACATCGAAAAGAGCAAAATTGCTCATAAGGTACAAAAATTGCAAACAAACATAATTATCTTCATAACATTATGTTTATTTGCATATTATATTTGAAGGTTTTGTATCAATCTAACTGCCATATTATGAAGTAAAATGGGAAAATAATGTTGAATCCTTGCACAACGAGCTATATAAGCCCTACAAGTGGTGATAAACTTGCAAATGCTCTTCTATATTTACAAAATGCAAGATATTACTTGTAGGGCATAACAGTCCACATCATAACTATAATATCAGCAACATAACTCTGCAGGAGATTGAGAAAGTAAACCTTGGAGTGATCATCCAACAGTCATTGAAAGTTGCTCAGCAACTAATGGCTGCATTTAATAATGCCACACCAATCCTTAGGAATACAGTAATCAAATGAACCTTTGATGCAAGGCAAAGCTGTGTTTCAGGTGTACAAATCGCTGGTGTGCCCCATGTGGACTACGGTATCCATGCATGGAGACCTCAATATCAGGGTAGAAATATTGCCGGAACAACCGTGGATATCTTCAAGAGGAAACTAGATTGTTTCCTCCTAGGAGTGCCGGACCAACCGGGCTGTGGTGGGTATGTGGGCCTGCAGGGCGCTTCAAGCAACAGCCTAGTGGACCAAACTCTCAAGTCAAGCCTGGCCTTGGGCCGGGCTTGGAGAATAGAACTACTCCCAGAATCTCATCAACCAGGTATCGACCAGGTAAACCTCGCCTTCAAAAGGACATACAGTACCTGTTTCAGAAAAGGTTTAGTACAAAGCTACAAAATTCATCCTAGAACTAAATCAACTTGCTTACCAGGGAAGGTTTAGTGCTTCAATGCGAACAATACTTCGAACCAGACATAACAAGACTGATTTCATGGTACTTTAAAATACTTAACAAACTGGAATCCAGACCTCTTCTCTGAAAGGTCCAATGAAACTCTCACAAAGGGTAACAGCTTCAAACTTTACAAGCTACAATATATCACAGAAAACCATAAATGTCTTTTAACCCATAGGGTAATAAACCGATGGAATTGCTTTCCTGCTGGAGCATTAATGCCAGTTCAAAATTCATTTGCAAAAAATCATCAGAATTAATAAACATTATTTTTACAAGCCATCAGTTTCCTATACTTGTTGTGGCCACTATAGATGCTGACTATTGGGTAAATCTAGATATTGTGTTTATAGATATAAAGGAAGTTGGCTATGCTGATTCTTGTGAATGTGTATTCAAAATTAGCTCAACACCTCCAAGTACAGTTGATTTCAGTGACAACCATAAAAGACTATGGATGACATAAAGAAGGGACGGGAGCCTGGAAATGTGTACATATCTGTGCACCATATTTGGTAGATCTTCTCTTTACTTCTTATTGATGAGGTAGGGGAGCCGGTCGGTCGAGTGGATAGCATGCTGGACTTGTGATCCTGTGGTCCCGGGTTCGATCCCGGGCGCCGGCAAGAAACAATGGGCAGAGTTTCTTTCACCCTATGCCCCTGTTACCTAGCAGTAAAATAGGTACCTGGGTGTTAGTCACCTGTCACGGAGCTGCTTCCTGGGGGTGGAGGCCTGGTCGAGGACCGGGCCGCGGGGACACTAAAGCCCCGAAATCATCTCAAGATAACCTCAAGATAGCATATTATTGTATAGTGAAACATTTATGAAAGTACAAATAATTGCATGATATATTTTTCATATACTTTACAGTACATGCTGTTGGTGCCTCATTGATAATGACATTAAACCAAACATTAAAAGCTAAGTTATGATTTTTACATTTGACATTTATTTTGGATCTCATCACAAGCTGCATTCCTTCAGTCAACACTTCGAGGGATCAGTGAAGGTTCAGCAGACCCAAAAGTCTCCTCTGTCATCTCCTACATCTTCAACTTCTACTTTTCTAGCCAAGATGAGTGTCCAGAAGTCCCTACAGACTAAATCCAAAGGCAAGCAACATTAGTATACCTGTATAGAGCCATGCTTGGTATCCCAGGTAATGTTCAGGCAGACAAAATGGTTTGCAGTGTGTTAGCCATGTAGTCAAATGAACACCCAAGACTAAGCTAAATTTATCACATGGCTTTTATAGTAAGATAATGCTACACTGTTGCCTGTAGTGTGAGCCCTACTAGAATTGTATTGCATAAATTGAATTAAGCATTACTTTGGCATATCAAAATATTTGTTGTCTTAAGTTACTTGTATAGTCTTTCACAAAATGTTTTAGCAGTTTATCCATGCATAGTAGTAGTTTTTAAAACATTCATAAAATAATTCTCATGTATAGAAAATGCCCAGCCAGCTGCCCTTGAGGTGAACAAGGTTGAAGCTGCAACAGAAGAGGAGGAAATTGTGATGGGCTCTCCTTTGATGCAGATAACTGAATTTCTACGAGCTCTTTTACACTCCACTGAGGATGGTCGTGTTATCGTAACGGTTGGTCCTAGTCCACAAAAATCATCTATCAAATATCTGGTTCTTAACCCTGCTTCCCATTTCCATGATGTTGTTAAACAGTGCAGGTTGGTCATTGTTTTATGTACTTTTGTCAATACTGTAATTAGAAACGGCTTTATGAGGCATTCCGAATAATATATAGTACAGCACCTGTACTGTAATTAAATTTACTGTAATGATGCTTGAATTACTATACAAAAGTTATAGTAATGACAGCATTATTATTGTAATTATTATTATAGTGTTAGAATAAGACTTGAATTATAAATTTTTGTTGGAGTTCATATTTATTAATTGGAGTTCATCTGACAAGTTGGTTAAACTATCATATATGTGTGTGTGTCTTGGATACATATTTAGTCACAGAACTACCTATTTTGAGGGAAGAACCACTTAAAAACGTGCTCAGGTATTTAAAATTCAAATGTTCCAAGAACTCCCAAAGGAGCACCTGAGACAACTTTTAAGTGTGTACCTGGTGGATTGTGTCTGAGGAGATAATGAAGTACCTACCATTTGTGAAGGAAGAATGTGTTGAAAGACTGAGCACTGTACTCAGTATGCACATGTAAATGAGAAAGTAGAAAGGTAGAAATATATAAAAAGATAAATTAAAAGCAAGGAAAAGGACAGTGGTATACTATACAGATTATTGAAAAGCTGGATGTTAAGGTGGAGACAATGGGAGAGACTACCAAGTGGCATTGCAGTATAGTGTATATTTCAGACCCATTAAAAAACAAAAACATGGAATACAGTTTAATACAATTGAGCAGCAAAATTCTAAAAAACAACATTTAAAAGCACTGGATTTACAAATAAAATTTTATTATTAAATTATCCAGAACTATTCAAAGTATGACGTGATGCAGATGAATTGTGATCACTGTGTTTGTCTATCAAGCATGCAGTTATATGTTGTTATTTATACCTCATTTGAAATTACTTTTTTTATTGCAGAAAATTACAATTGGTTTCATTACACTATTAAATTAAATAACCACAACTGTGTGGACATTGTAATTTACTAAAAAAAATTTAAGCTAGTTGAGCCTTCAATTAGTTCTATACAAATTCATCCATGTCACTAAATTTTAATTGTTTATCTATATTTAGAAAGTACATGTCCTCTATAAAAAAAAATCCTCACAGGAGAGAACTTCACATAACGTTAACTGTATTTCACTTCAGGTCGATAATTGTTGCCGGGGGAACCATGCGACCTGTGAGTGAGTTCAGAGATCAGCTCTTCCTCTCGGCCGGTGCAGACATTAGCCGAGTGCACGAATTTTCCTGCGGTCATGTTGTGCCGGGAGAACAGATCATGCCTATTGTTCTCAGTCAAGGCCCTACAAATGTTACCTTGGACTTCACTTACCAGCATAGAGGAGACACCAAGGTGGTGAGTATAGATGTCATAAATGAATTAATTTAAACCAGGAATGTCGCTGTGTGGTGTTTCAATGGCTATCTCAAGACTTGTGTAAGTTTTTAGGAGGTTTGACTCGGTATGTTTACAGTGATTTATTTTATATTTTTTATTTACAGTTTTGATAAGTCTTTCATATTTACCATTCATAATTATTGGAATTAAAATGGTTGTATTGCTAAACAAATATATTTACATTAAAAAATCAATGAAAAGCTCTTTCCATTTGTGTAAATACTCTAATATGCTGAAATATATACAGTATTTAGCTTGTGTGCAAGTTACAGATTACAAAATAATATAATCTACCTTAATTATGTTAAAACAAAATTTAGAAATAGGAGTGAGGGTTTGAAGGAATCACAATTGCCAAATTTTGGCTGTACTGCATAGGGTGACACTTGATTGTCACTACTGTAACAGATAGCAATATTTACCAGGTCCAGTTGCCTGTTTTGAAGGTCAGAGGACCTGGGCAAACATGCAGCCAAGGCCCTATTATCATGATTCAACTTTGCACATTAATAACAGATCGTAGAGGAAAGTGGTTACTAAGGAATGAGCTACCAAACATAGGTGTGATAGTAGTCCTCGACCAAAGTGAAAACACCACCAAATAATACTAATACAACTAGCTACCACGTGCAGTAATGTCAGAGCTTGAGGCACAGTGCTCCTATGGTTACCAAACATTATGGATATCCATTGTTAATGGCCACTTCCATACCTGGGCACCTGAATTTTGAAATCATTACAATACTATATAAATCATGATACAATGTACATGTTTATATTAGTAAAATGTTTTAAATGGGTGATATAACTGGCCAAAAACTGGCACAGGTGGCAATGGGCCAAAAACTGTGGCACAGGTGACAAAACACTGCACGAGTGCCATAAGTTTAGTTTCTTGCATATTTCAGTTAATACTGTAGGTGATGCTGATCTATAACATGACATATTTCCAATTCACACAATTTTTTTATGACGCATTATCAGACTAATTGTATTTACTTTATACTAGTACAGTATATCCAATTTGAACAGGAATAATTTTCTTATCCTAGTTGATCAAAGAACAGCGACCTTACCCTATAAATAGCTATTTCATTCGTTTTTTTAACTTTGGCCAATGCTATATTTTATTACATCTAACTTTTGTGAAACTATATGCTGTAGTGTGTTTTAGATGGTGAATATGGAAGTACCTTTTTCTTCTTCACTGTGTTTTCACCCTCTCCCATGAAATTTATAAATGAGTGATGATGAATATGCTTATATTTTGTGGATAATATATACAGTAATATAAATTTCTTGTACAGCTGGATGAATTGGGCCGAGTGCTGGTAAATACTTGTACAGTAGTGCCAGGAGGAATTGTCTGTTTTCTTCCTTCTTATGACTACGAGCAGCGTGTGTTCTCTCACTTCACTGCCTCTGGTGTCATAACCAGACTAGAAGCAAAGAAGAAGGTATTTAATTAGTAGATGAATTAATAGGGATGTTAAAAGGAACTAACTCAAGCCATGTATAGTTATTTAGATGGTGTTAGGATACCAGATTAAAGCTTGTTAAAATGGTTGAATTGATGCATGTACAGTGTTTCTGTAATGCAAACACTTGCCCACAAGCATTGTTATACAGTATAGTATATATGAACTGAAGTTTTGTGCCTCATTTTCTTGGTATCTGAAGATTATCTTTGAAATACCCATTTTGCATTTCTCTACGTTCATTGAGACAAAATATTTACTTTGCCATCATTTCATCCCACCACCTGTTTGTTAATCCTTTGTCTCTTCAGTCTCGATTACATTTAAAGAATGTGCAAAGTCCATCTAACAACATTTCTTTATCTCCTATTTTGAAAACATATCCTTCAAGTAGGGTAACATTGAGGCAAATAAAATGATCATTGATATGAGGAAATTTAATGAATTGAAAAGCATGAATTTTTTGTTAAATTACATGTAAATAATGTATATCTCATGTACTGTGTCACCATATTCATTGTGAAAAATGGTGGTGAATGCAAATTGTTTACCTATGACTTGTTGCATGTTCTCACAGGTTTTTCGTGAACCCAAAAAATCAAGTCAGTTAGATAGCGTGCTAAATGGGTATGCGAAGACTGTACGATTAACAGCATCAAGTACAACAGGCGTTACTGGCTCCCTGCTCTTCAGTGTTGTTGGTAAGTTAACAGCATCACAATTACCATGTTAATTTTATGGGGCCAGAAGACAATAGCTTGGAGAAAAGGGATAGCAGTATTGTAGAGAAAAACAAGCTAAAGATAATAAAAAATTGCACTCATAATCTCGGCAGATCTTACGCACTACATGGCATCATTGAGAACCAGCACACAACCAAGCTTTGTTCCTTACCATATCCTATATATTTTTACACACGCTCCATTTCCTCACCAGCCCGTCCTCTCAAACATTCACATCGTCACTAAACTAATGTAGTACCTGAACCTAACCAAGGACCAATAAAAAATGGGTATGGATAAAGGTCACAACCATCATCATTATGGTTCCTACCGATTCTCAATAATAAGAGGGATTCGAACCTGCACACTGAGTACTCGAAGTACATGCCCCAAACCACTATAGGAGTTCTACCACATCCAGAGTGTATTGAGGTAATGCGTGAAACCCTGACGTGGAATCCTCAGCACTGCTAGAGGATTCGGATGAATCCCAGATTGCATTACTTTTTAGCATATTATGGCCTACTGGTTTAAGAGCTTGTGCTTGGGAATACCCAATTTGCAGATTTGAATCCTCCTCCTGGCTCCTACTGATTTTCTCAATGATACACCACGTTAATGTAATATTTTTGTTCATCATCTTCATACACCTACTTATGTTGGAATTTAGGCCTAGGGTCTGACACTAGAACTGGTCAGCACCATTTGTGTGTGTGTGATTTATTTGCAAGGTGTGTTCAGTGCTGAAGGTTGTTGTGTTACCTCTGTGAGTGTGATACCAAGACCATGAGGAGGAATCGGTAGAACTTGCTTCCCTATACTCCTACTCGTAATAGCTTTTAATAAAATTATAGATATAGATACAGATTTGGAGCATGAATAAAGTGTTGATTATCTTTCTGCATTTGCAGAATATTTGTCTTATTTTCTTGTATTTTATCTTTGTCTCCTGTTCATTATATGTACCTCTTGAAATTAAATGAGATGGCTAAATTGGAGAGATTTTCACCTCCCTGGTCTTTAACTTGTATATAGTTGGTCCAAGTGAATACTTAACATACAACAGTAGTACTACCTTATTGGTTTCAATAGGCATAGGCTTAAATTTCATAAAGTGAGATTTTCACCACCATTTGCTATTTTATCCTCTTTCAGAACACTGCTTCTCTAACAAAACACATGTGTAGCCTTTAAAAAACATCTGCAGCATTTCCAAAAACACATGTCATCTCTCAATACACCTGCTTCACCTCATTCTCTAGGTAGAGATATGCCTTACATATATTTACAGGGAGATAATTTGCTTGCAATTTAAAATGTATGTATTGATAGCACTGAAAGATTAACTTTTAAGCATATTATTGCTATTTATCATTATAGTTCAGTGGTATTTGGTATTGTATGTAAATACTGAAGATTTAAATATTAAAATTCTATGAGCATTGTATAATATCTGTAGATCAATTTATTCACTTTCTCCTTATCTATATATTATATAAAGTACATACTGTACTGTTGAATTTTAAAATTTTACAGTTAAAAAACGTGTGTTAACACTAGAATACTTGTGTTATTTAGTAAAGTAACAAGACCCCTCTACTAAGACAATGTAAAATAATAAATATATCAATAAGCACATTAACCTGACATGGTTCTCTATAAATTATCACCATAAATGGAGTGTAGAAAGGACAAGGCCAAATCCTCCCTCTGGTGCCCATTACTCCTGCCCAACATATCTGTACTCTGGCTCTTATTTTATCTTCACTTCAACTCAGTCCTTTTCTATCTTGGTTTCCACAAATATTGTATTTTAATAACTTTTGAGGACAAGTAGTTTAAGGTAAAACTCGAGCCCAGCCATCTGTTCAACATTTGAATCTGAATCCCTTGGTTGCTCTTGGTAGCATTTTTACCATACTAGTGCTGTCTGAGAAAACCTTTAGTATCTTGGGCTGTAATATTATTAGAGTACAACTGAATATCATCCTAACCATTTCGTGTACACTGTACATCATAGTGTTAGCACTTGCGCAGGTGGGAAGATGAGTGAAGGCATCAACTTCAGCGATGGCTTGGGCAGGTGTGTGGTGATGGTCGGGCTGCCTTACCCAAGCACTCAGTCGCCAGAACTTAAGGAAAAGATGCTTTTTCTCAATAAACATGTGGTAAGTCATGATGTTGTATTTATATTTAACAGAGTTCTTTAGAAAGTCAAATGAATATGGATGTAAAGTATTACAAAAAGGGATTAATTGTGAATTTGCTAATGCATTTGATTATAGGATTCATGATTGTGGTACTGTAGTTACCTTGTAAAAAAAAAATGTACGAGACTGCTGAATGAAGGCGTTATTTATTGACACTATTCCATTTTAGTTGCTGCTACAGTTAACTATAACCACTGTTTACATAGTGTAAAGTGTTTTTTTTTTTTTAATTAAAACTAGATAACAAACAAATCCTTAATTAAATTTACTCTTATGAAGAAATACTGTAGTTCCTTGGGCAAGTGATGAGTATGTAGCATACAAAATTAAATGTGTACTACTAGTCCAACTAGAGAGGGTTGTGTGTGTCGAGTGTTTCCAAACTATTTTTCACCAGGAATGGATATTAAGAGTAAATTTTTCTATTAAGTTTTAAAAGTAGAATAGATCCCAAAAGGAGCAGTAGTTTGGTGTATAGAATTTGCCTTATATGGGCTCGTAGGTCTACTGTAGTATACCTTTATTAGGATGTTTTATTTATGATTAGCAGGTGTGTTATAGGTAAAAGAAAGGGAAAAAATTGGTAAAGTATGCTGGCAAGCCATTGTGTTCATTTTGATGCAAGCAGTAAAATGGTGCAGTATAGGCTATTGGGCATATTTAATTAATGAAAACACCACATAAACAAGAAGAAATGGGGGACAGGAAGGAAGGAAGAGGGTGATAGTGAGGAAGTGTGGCAACAAGAGGAATATTATTTTTGAAGGTGTGTTCAGTGCCGAGGAAATATTAGTTTGTGGATGAGACTGTACAGTGGGAGGAATGATATAATTAAACAAAATTAAGTTAAATAATTGAGTATTGGCACTAACAAATAATTTATATAGAGGAATAATTGGCAATAATATTTTCCTGGTAGGCAACCTCTTAAGTTTTAACTCTTAAATTTGTCAGATGTAATAGGAAATTTACATTCAATCCACTGTATTTAGTCTGCAGGACCTGATGGAAAATCTGCAGGCTCCATCTTCTATGAAAACCTCTGCTTTAAGGCAGTGAATCAATCCATAGGCCGGGCTATCCGCCACAGGTAAGGAGATTGAGGCTGATTTAAAGTATAGTACTATTGTATTAAAAGTAGGCCTACCTTAGAATTTGTCACCAAATACCTTATAGAAATATCTTTGTTTTATGATGCATGAACAATACTTAACTCATACTAAATGCATTAGCCTATTATTTTCCTCCTATAACACAGTTCCTGTGTTATGTATCTAATTCAAATAGGGAAGAAAATACAGTAGAAAGGTTTCTCAGCTGTTGCATTCAAGTACCCTAAGGTCATCTAATGTGACCTTAGGGTACCCTCTCATCGTGTAGTATTTGGTGCAGAAGGGGGTACACTAAGAATGGTTAAGGAAGAAGAAACTGAAGGTACAAGTTATGTGCTGAAAGTGAATAAAATGACAAACAGGAGTAGGGTGCTTATGCCATTCTTGTGATAGAGTATTGGTGTTGTGTCCATCTGGCTATATTTTTACTTGATGTGTATGTGATGTTTACTTCAGGAATGACTATGCCAGCATCCTCTTGTTAGATCATCGGTACTGTCGCCCGTCCTCTATACAGGCTCTGCCAGAATGGATATCAAAACATGTACAACAGTGTACCAAATTTGCACAAGCATTTGGTTTATTAAGAAAGGTACGTTACATTTGAATTTTTTTTTTTTTTTTTTTTTGAAAGTGTATTAGTAAGTCAGTCTGTTCTTTTATTCTTTGTCTCTCTTATAATCTTAAGTTCCATAAGAGCATGGCCTCAGGAGCACTTGAAACATTTGCTGAAGAAATCCCTTTGTCAGTTCAGTTATCGTACAAGGGTGTTACCAGGTGTTTACCGAGAATGTGTGAAAAATTAAGAATTGTCAAGGTTAACGTGTGTGTGTGTTGAAGAGAAATGACAGTAAAGAAGCATGACCAGAAAATCAAAGAATATCTCTGCTGTTCCTTAATGTAAGATTCACTGTATATATTGGCGAAGAAAGGCACCACAACAGGTCAGTGTCTGGCCCAGAAAGCCGCTTTTCATGTATACTTTATATACCACAAATGTTTAGTAATGCTCTCGAGTTAATCATTTAAAATTACATTACTATTTTAACCTATTGGCATGTCTAAAATAATTACATATTAACTTAATTTTAAAACCTTTCACAGTTTTTTGCAGATAAGAAAACACAAGCAGCTGCTTAAGAGAATAAAAGTCTGTAAAGCTGACCAAAGGAAATGTGCAATTCTCACCAATTTAGCTGAAAAGTCCTGTAAATAAATACAAATATTTGTATTATATCTTTAAATATCCTAAAGCTAATGAATTTGTAACTAGTTGCGGATGATTCACAATAACACGTGACTGAAGAGTTAATAGCCAGCACACATCTGAAAAAGGCAGAAACAACATTTTGGTCTGACCTGGACCATGATAAAGTTGTGTAATGAAATTGCATGACCTTAAAAATGTAGAAACAATGACATTTTGGTCCATTATCAAATGTGTGGGCTGTGTATCAATTTGCACCAACATTGAATAAATGTAAAACTAAGGTTCTAATTTTCAGCTGGATTCAAATGGTTCAAACCTTTCTTCCAAAAAATGGTAGAACTTGGTAACTGTTGATGGAACAAAAATATGGACCTCTTAAAAAAAAATAACTTTTGTACTTTGAATTCTAAAGCCCATAAAAATTGGAAAAGAATACAAGTAAGTAATTATCAAAAGAAGGCACCAAACCGGGAAGGCTATGTAGCACCATCAAATACGCAAAATAATCAGAGGGCGCTAAATATCACCAAGGATGCCAATACGAGAACAAAAACGCATAAGGGGAAAAGAATACAAACATCACCTAACATGTAATTTTAGGTATAGTTTTGTATATACCGTACAGTGGTACCCGAGTTTTTTAATTTAATCCGTTCCCAGAGACGGTACGAAAACGAATTTTCCCATTAGAAATAATGTAAAATGACGTAATATATTTGGGGAGTGTGGCACTGATTAAGTAAAAAAAAATACATTTTATATATACTCTTGGGTACCTTACCTTTATTGAGGACTCTTGTTGGCGTATGGAAGACAGTGAGGAAGGTGGAAGGAGAGGAGGTGTTAGTGTTTGGAAAGGAAGTCCCCTTCCATTATAACAGCAGTGATGACATTTCTGGGGTACTCTTACATTTTGCAAACATACCACTAGGACCTGGTTGTGGCTCACTGCTTGCTTGTCTTACTAAAAATCTGTCTATAGACACTTGTTTTTCCCTACATTTTAACACTTGTTTGTAGTGAGACATCACATTGTTTCACTAAGAGGTAAAACAAGAGATCATTAAACAACCCGTTCTCGCAAATTTAATAAGCCAATATTGACTTATTAAATATGTGCATAGGTGACATAATTAACATAATAGTTTCCCTTGAAAAGCTTCATAGAAAACACCGACCTTACCTAACCTACTTAGTATGTTAAAATAAGCATCTTATTGCTTCGTAATTACAATTATTACCTAACCTATACCTATAATAGGTTAAGTAACAATTGTAATTACGAAGCTATAAGATGCTTATTTTAACATACTAAGTAGGTTAGGTAAGGTCGGTGTTTTCTATGAAGCTTTTCAAGGGAAACTATTATGTTTAGTATGTCACCCATGCACGCAACTAATAAGTCAATATTGACTTATTAAATTTGCGAGAACGGGTTGCATTAAATCATCATCCTAAACCATTTTCTTAATTTAATTTAAGTTGAACATTATTACCAACTTTCTTGAAACCCATAGCATGATACTGTATATAATAAGAACGTTTATGTTCAGAAATCAAAAAAGCACAAAAGCAATGAAATTCTTCACAAAGAATTCAAGTGTGATCATCACTGGGCGGGAGACACTAGTAAACTGAAGCGCCACATGCATGATGGACCCGTATGTGTATAAACAAACTCTGAAAACCAAGGGCAAACAACGAGTGCCGAATCAAATTTTTCAAAGAAATTGAGTTCGAGTACCAAAAAATACGAAAACCGGGTTCCACTGTATGTACTATACTAGCCCTAGGAAAAGTTAAGTTTGGTTCTCTTTCTCCGACAACAAAATTAATACAGTGGTACAAAATTAAACACTAATCTATTAAGTGCATACAAGTTAATCGATTGTAGCAATACATAACCAGAGATGATTCCTTACAAAGGGGGTTGGGTCAAATTTGATAGTTCTGATCAGTATACATAATGATGTTAATAGCTTACCATCTTTCTTCAATGGTTGCCGATCACATTATGGACAACAGTAAAAATGTTAGCAAGGAATTCACTTCTGGAAGATGAGGCCGACAACATGAAAAGTAAATAGTCTTCAAGAGATGTAATAACCGCATCAGTTAACTGACACTAGCCTGTGATGTAAATGATTTCCACATTTATAGATGCTATAAAGTGTTCTTCCTAGAGCTCTTGAACACAATATTCCATATAGCTCTTATTATGTTTGACAATAATAACCCAAAATGGATGGACAAGAAAATGAACACTACAGTAGATGGAAAAATAAAAGGCATACACAGTAAAAGTAATTGTCTAAACGAGCCAAGCCTGGAAGACATTAGTACCGTTTGTCACAGAATATTACAAAATTACTAGATATCATTCAGTATGCCAACAAAAACATCTTTGAACTGGCTCGTGATATAGTCATATCACCAAATATTTTATCAAGAGAGGACATGACTCAAAGGAACATTGTGAAACAAATTCTGATCCTGAAAAGCACAGCATTGTGCAAGTAGGTGCATGACTGTTAGTGGAACAATGCAGTTTTGACAAAGAGGAATTCCTGAAATCAGAAATTCATGGATAGGAGGACACAGATTCAAGCTAAGGAAACAAAAGTGCCAAAAAAATATTAGAAAGTTTTCTTTTGCAAACAGAGTGATAGACAGTTGGAACACGTTAAGTGAGGCCAAAACCGTCAGTAGCTTCAAAACGTTATATGACAGAGTACTGGGAAGACAGGACACCACAAGCCTAGCTCTCATCCTGTAACTATACTTATGTAATTACACACACAAATACATTCTAGTGTAATTTCTAGAGCATGTGAACCTTTTCCAATTTTGGGACTTACCTCCTCTTTTATAGAGTATAAAATGTTTCATTGTTTAGGAGATTTCATCATTTGATTTCTCTTTTTCTCCGTAAAACGGTTTTGGTATTCCCGGTTCATTGGCCAAAGAGGAGGCTGTAGGCAAGGAAGTCTAAAAGGTCAATAGGGTGAGTCCAGGTCGTTCAGTTGCAGAATCCAGATTATTCGTGTCAGGAACGCCCACTAGTCAGTCAGTTAGCAAGGCAAGATCTCAAGACTTCCAGAAGAGGAAAGGCAGTTAATGTACCTATGAAAAAAATTATAGAATTAATTAAGGCCAGAGTCATGGGAATCCACCTACCAGGATAGCGAGAGGGTCGAGCACAAATAGACAGAACACCATACCTCATAAGACACAGTATGGTTGAAGGAAACATACTGTAAGCAAGTATTTTTTAGTAATTAGCGAGTTAATTTTATACTGATAAACAAAGGTATGGGCTTTTTTATATTAGTTAAAACCTCCTATAACCATTGTTTTTCTATCACCATATTCTAAGCAATTCATCTTTGGCTTCCTCCACTTACCTTACCTGCAATCTTTACTTATTCCTATTTTCTCATTCTATTTGCGTACATACCACTTTTAGCTCAAGACTTAGTCTTAGTTATGTTATATTAATTTACTACAGTTGCCACAGTAATGAGAACCAATTTGCTATAATGAATTTATTATTGATAAATATTTTTATAAGAAAATAACAATAATGAGAGTAAAGGAGATAGTGCATAGAAACTTTTCATGGAATACACATGAAAATCATCTAGTAATAACCATGAAATGGGACGAGAATGGACAGCAGCACTGAAACCTGAATAAGTAAGGTCTTGTCCTCACAAAATGCAGCTTACACGTGTATTGTAAAACTCCTGCATTTATTCAAAACAAAAATAACCATTTATGACAGGAAATTGTTACATAATATTATATATGTATATATACCACATACAGTTTAGATATTTATCACATGATAAAGAATTTATCAGTTTTAAAGTTTATACAATGGTTGTAACATACCTAATACATACAGAGAAAATATATTTAAACGAGTTTCACATGTTCATTGGAGAGGTCAAATATTTTGAAAATATATAATTTCCCAAGTTAACAATAATTTGGCATTCATATTATATATATATATATATATATATATATATATATATATATATATATATATATATATATATATATATATATATATATATATATATTTTTACACTATTAAAACTCTTCTGTATTAACTGTATATAATTTTCATAAACCAGTTTATGGGAGGGATAAAACTCATAATATATAGTTCTACTTTTTGTTCCCTTTCAAGAAATAATGGAATGGGTATTAAAACTGCTGCTGTCTGAAAATTAGGAACAAAGTATCTATGGTATCAAGCATATATATTTCTGTAGAGGTGAAGGTGGGATTGAATTGGGTGGCTCTACTTCAGACTGGTGAGCTTGGAAGAGCTCCTCGTTACTTCATGTTGTCTACTCTATGTTAACACTGACACAACTTAACAAATGCAAGCTTTCTCACCTGACATTTGGAATAGCTTCATTCTGCAAACTACAGTGTTGTGAATAATGTAGGGTTGTAATTATGGAAGAATTGAAGGTCAAGAGATTCTGATCCAATATTACTTGCTGATTAACATAATACCATACTGCATATACTTTTATCACTATATAGTTGCTGTTTGGATTTTTGCACACAGATACTAATTAGCAGCAACATCAGAGTTCACGTCCTGTACTACACAACTGGTATCTTAACGGGTTTATGATAAAATCATCAACACAGCTGCAGTAGTATTATTGACTATGTACTCATTGAATGTAAACACTTTATAAAACAATTTAACCTTTTCAACACTCGAATACTTTTTTGCATTAAATACAAAAAAGATGATCTAAAAATATTACCGATTTCTAGTAACAAAAATCTAAGTTCTTATTTTACTCCTTATTCCACTGCCCTCGTCATAGTGGGTTGACCATTAACAGCGGTAGTGTTCATATCTGCTCCCTTAAAATTTGTGTATATCTCATGGCTCGCCAACAGAACTAATATTCGTAATTGCATGATTTTGAAAAAATACTTATACAATATGAAACATTTGGAGATATTGGATCTACAATTACATGCCATCAACATGACCATGACTGATGCTAATAAGTTAAAAGTGTAATCAATTTAAATCTCGCTGATCTCTTAGTTTAACACATCACTTTTAACATAATTTTTCAAATAATGTTCTAGTCATTACTAATAAACAGCTGGATTAAGCCTACCTTGGAGGATAGTTGAGCATAAAACCAGCAGTGGGTCTGGCTGTATCCCGGTGTGTGCATGGAGGATCTGAATACCGGAAATGAGATCAGCACTTAGGACCTTATCGATGTACTACCAGATAGACTTAATATATACTGTACCTTGTTTCTCCTCTTCTCATTGGTACCTCCTCAAAACTAAACAGTACAAATTGTATATATGACTTATTTAGTAGTTCCAACAGCTCCAACAGCTCTTACCAACATGGTTAGGTTCTGCTTCTTGCAAGCTACCTCGCACAGTTTCCATTCAAGTCTAACAAATACATCTTTTTTTCGTTTTCTTTTTTAATATAAAAAAATTAACAATTATCACATCACTGGTTTCATGTTTTAATTTAAATGCCATAATTCTAATTCTTACCGACATATGCATTAATATCCACACACAAGTTTTATATATATATATATATATATATATATATATATATATATATATATATATATATATATATATATATATATATATATATATATATATATATATATGTACACATATTTGTGTGCACATGCACACACACATGTGCATGTGCTCGTACACAATGCTTAGGCAGTGGATGTACATGAGCATCACCAAGTCTTTGGTCTGACTGTTGTAACTTACCAGCTCGCAATAAAATAAAGCTAATGAGAATATAACTTTCTGTGAGGCTACTGGAGTTACCATAACATCACAGTTTTAAATATTAAAGGACACATATTTCTCTCTAATCTGAAAATGCACCACATTAGATAAATGCTTTTTATAAAATCCAACAGTCTCTATCAAAAAGTTATAAAATGAATATCATATTAGTAATCTTGTAGGGAAGGTTCAAATCTGTATTATTATATGTCTTTAATATGGTATCACAACCACCAATGAATGAGTTAAAACATTAGTTTTCATTCATGACTTTCCTGTAACACCTCACTCAAAGCCACTAAATGTTTATCATTAATTCCCCATAGAATTATTTACCATCAATCAAATGTTGCCCATTTGGTTTCACTTGCACCTCTAATATCATTGTTTGGTGTTGGTATCTTATTGTTGTTCACTAATGTGTTGTTGTTATTCCCAGCTGTCGCTGTCTTAGAAGAACTATTTACTGTAAGTTTTTGGAAGTCCTTGGAAAAGTCACCTAATAAGTCTCTCTGAGATAAACGTGGGGGTCGTTGGGGCTGAGCACCGCTGCCGAGGGTTTTGTTAGCTTTTGCAAATGGTGGTTCAAACTGAACATATTGACCAGACATGCTGGTCATTGATGGCTCCTCTAACCCATGGGACAGCATACTACTTGCAAAAGCTGCTGCTGCATTCCCTGCTCGAGTGGTACTAGGAAGGGAAGTTACTCCCGGAGGCTGGTGCTGATTATATATAGGGTTTTGGCAACCAATGGGGGTACCCATACTAGTCTGTAGAGTTGACAACGGACGGTACTCAGACCCAGACGGCTGGTAAGAGGTCAACAGGCGATATTCTGAAGGCCGTTTTGGCGTAGCATTGGGTAGGCCTGTAGTGTTTATGGCTGTGGTGCGAGCAAGAGCTGGATGAGGTGCAGTGGTGCCAGGGAGCTGGGAAGTACTCAAACTGCCAACACCAACCCCTTTGTCACCAGCCACTGGTACTCCTGTAAGAAACATTAATAAAATAGGAAAATAAATTTATATTTGGGATGAAGAAGCTAGTAATACAGTGATAAATTAATTTAATGACAATACAGTGAAGCACCTTTAAACTCGATTTCAATAAACTAAAAATTATAAACTACAGTACTGGTATATATAAAATAATTATTTGATATTCAGGCAAGTAAATAACTATAAAATACGAAATAGTTTTAAATATTTATAATAAAGCATACAATGTATGTGCAACAATAATTATTTAAACTACAAACGTGTTAGGAAGATGGAAGGAGTGTCATCTGTTTGTTTACCAGTTGCTTACACTACACGTAAGCTAACTTTTTAATGTATTTCAAGTTGTGTGTAATTTCTTCTACAGACAGCCCTCGATTTACAGAAACCATACAAGCCAAAACCACTAAAACTCAAACTAAAGTTATATTGAAAAATTAGGAACACATTACAGAGACCTCCAAAGTCCACTGCTTTCCACTCTTTAACAAAACACCTGTTTTATAATTAATATTTAGTAATTAACTTCTCTAACTTTCCAATGCATAATAAAACTCCAAAATGCATGAAATGTACAATAATACATAAATATAATCCAAATATTTTGTAAGCCCAAGAGTGTAGGATGGTTTAGAGCGTACCTCAGTGCCGAGTGCATTTTGTCTACGTTAATCTATTCTTAACCCATGTAACTCTAAATCCACTAAATCTAATATAGCACAAATCACAAGTGCTTGTATCTTATTACATTTTAGTGAAATGGCTAACAGGGGTTGATTTTAATAGTTCTTAATTAATGACCCAGATGTCACTTTTCACTCCATGTAACTGTCTTAATTTGGTAAGGAAATATATATTAATATTTTAACATTCATTTATATTCTCTATTTATATGGCTATACACAAAGCCTGTTATATAACAAAAGCAATTTACTGGGTAAATATAGGAACATATATAATTAGGTTATGCCATGTTAGGACAGCATCGTGATAATGTACCCGAGGACAGTCGAAGCTCTAGAATCCCTGGCATCCATAGTCCAGCACCACCTATAATTCGGACATTTTCTCAAATCTGGAAGCCATCCAAAATTCGGATGGTTCGGAAGTCAAATTCAGACGCCATCCAAAGTTCGCCAGCAATAAATCTCTGGAAGGAGTATGGTGTTATGAGGTACTCCATTTATATTAAATATTACATAATATAATATTGAATATGCATTATAATAATCTTTAATGTAATTAGGAAACGTTTATGTTCATGTTACGTAACAGAGAAGAAGGGAAGACGAGTGCATGTTAATGTCACATTAATGGCTCCCCTCTTCTTTAACCAAGAATTAACTAAATTCAAATTGTATTAAGTATTAATGCACAATTATATTATATAATTGCAAAAAAGTTTGTGTATAATTAAAGATTAAGAGGAAGGTTCCTGAAGGCCATTCTGATGTTCGCCAACTTTAAGTACTGTACCATATGCTGCTAACATTATCCTACAGTATTTATTTTTGCCTATGTGGTAAGCTTTGGTGTCCCCGTTTTCATCACCTCAGACTTAATGATACAGGCAAATCACCCAATTGTGGAAGGGTTGTTTTTTCGAAAAGTCATACATAAAGCAGTTGTTCGGAATGCAGAACCAGATTTCCTATAGGCTCATTGCTATAGATGGGGAATGCATTCCCAGAACACCAAAAATCCTAACATGAAACCAATATTTTGGGGACAAATAGAATAAGTAACACAACATATTAATCTGAAAAGAAGTAATAATCTTCTTGTAAAGGTTAGATGTCTTGAAGAGTTAATCAAGAAGTCGAATTTCATGAACAAATATATGAAAATATGACCCTTTGTAATTCGTCACAAGATTAAGCACCTCTCACCCTACTTCCATTGCCAACCCTCTGACTCCACTCCACCAACATTGTGAACACAATCTGGTCTCATTCCAATAATGTGAATTTTTGGGTCAGTGAGGAATTATGAGTGCTGCCACTCTCAACATTGTCATCTTTGCAACATCACCAATCCCATAAAGACTACTGACACCCACAACCAATCCCAACACATAGACAAGGAGAGCCTCTTTAGAGTGAGAGAACGTAGGACAAGAGGACACAGGTGGAAGCGGAAACAAGCCAAAGGGACATAAGAAAGTACTCGTACCCTGTATGGGTAGCTAAAAAGTGGAATGCTTTTAAAGAGGAAGTTTTGGAAACCATATCCATGCAAAACTTTAAGGTCTAATTTGATAAAGAATTTGAAAGTCAGAGTAGTTAAGTTGAAACACAACAGGTACAAGGCTAGTAGGCAAGGCATAACTGGGGAGCTAAACTGGCTCCCCAGTAGACACTGATAGGTAAATAACCAGACACACAGTCACTCCCCCCGACACTCACAGCAATCCTCTCCCCGTTACTTACAGCTAGCCTCCCGTCACACATAGCCGCCGCCGCCACCCCCCCCATCAGACACTCACAGCCAGTCCTCCAACACTCTCAGTCAGTCCCGACACTCATAGCCACCCCCCAACCGACACTCACAGCCACCCCCCAACCGACACTCACAGCCACCCCACCCCCCACCCGACACTCACAGCCTATCCCCCCTCCCCTGACACACACAGCCACTCCCGACACCCGCAGCTACTTTCAACACTCATGGCCACCCGCCACCCACAGCCACTCGCAGCCACCCACGGCAACTTGCAGCCACCCACGGCCACACGCAGCCACCCACGGCCCCTCGCAGCCACCCACGGCCACACGCAGCCACCCACGGCCCCTCGCAGCCACCCGCGGCCACTCGTAGCCATCTGCGGCCACTCGCAGCCACCCGTAGAAACCCGAGGCCACTCGCAGCCACCCGTAGCAACCCGCGGCCACTACCGACACCTACAGCCAATCACAGCCACCCAAGGCCACACCCGACACTTGCAGCCAGTTCTTTAACTCACAACTACTCCTGTAACTCACAAGCACTCCTGTAACTCACAAGCACTCCTGCAACTCACAAGCACTCATGATACAACCACCCCTGACACTCACAACCACTCTTACAAATATAAAAGTATACATTAAAACAAGTATTTGCAGTATATTTTATATATATATATATATATATATATATATATATATATATATATATATATATATATATATATATATAAAATATATATATATATACTTTATATTTGTAAGAGTGGTTGTGAGTGTAAGGGGTGGTTGTATCATGAGTGCTTGTGAGTTGCACTTGTGATACATTATACTGGCTGCAAGTACACATTATACACTCATGCCACCCGCCACCCACAGCCACTCGCATACATACGCAGCATACATACGCAGCATACATACATGCGTTAAATCATCTGAAAACAAACTTGTGAGATTCATCCCTTGGAATAGATCATTGACTTTGATGTGGAATACTGGTAAGTGTTGTATGACTGTTCTTTGGGGAATTTCATTTATTACTCTATGCCAGTTCACATACATTAGCAAAAACTGGGCATGGTCTGGTCCTGCCCACATCCAGATTGTTAAAGTTCAGCAGGTACAAGTGTTCATCAACAATATAATTAGTAATCCACACATCACTTGGCCCATCCATTTAAGTTTAAAGATGCTTCACTATATAGCTCATATATTCAATATACGTACAATTGTATATGAGGTCACTAAATGTATAAATGAACATCAAACATATTTGTTAATATACAATAAGAACTATTTAAAATATCAAGAATTAAAATAACTGCTTGACTGAAAATACAAGATTCCTGATTTAAAAAGCAACCTAACATTAAATGTACATCGCGATGACTCCTCCTCGAACCACAGCTCTATTAATACAACAATGTCACATCTCACAGAGATTCATCCCTTTGGTTAGATCATTGATCTGGTTGAAATCCTTATACCATGTCGTGGTGTAGTCGCTGTAAGCCCTTGTGTGGGAACACACACACAGCATAGGTTTGAACCCCTCATCACGGCTCCGACGGAATGCCTCAATATCACATCTTGTGTGCATTCCTTAATGTTCTATTTTCCATGACCCACAACATGTGCTTTCTTCCCAAATGCTTACACATTTTGCTCAACACTTGTACAAGATTACTTATTCTCCCATATAAAAAAAATTTGCAATGGGCAATCGCTTCATAATAAATTATTACAAAAATCTGTCATGCTAAAGACAGTTCATGGTCACTTTCTCAAATCTCTTCTAAATAATAATATTTTTGTTATGCTCCCCACCCATACTACACTGCTAATAAAATTTCAGTCTAATACCAATTCAAACTTCCTTTGAGCCAAATTGCAAACACTTATCTTCAAATGTCAGAAGCTTGTAATGCCTAACATACAACAGTGTTCCCTTTACCCCAATCATAGTACATAATACACTTGTAATAAAGGGCACGTGAGGAATCTTCGTACCAATTTCCTTTTCATAGTACACCTACTTCCCCTAAATTTAACCTTATAGTTGCTGTATTTTATATTACGAAAATAATAATATGGCTAGTATTCAATTCTAAATTTAATGCCACAAAACCCAGACAATTATTAGCTAAAAGGCATTTTTTAAAGCCAGGAACCCAAAAGGTAATAAAGTAACAATATAGTGAAGGTGCACAATTATCATCAATAATACCATCCATATATATTTATCTTCTTTGCTTCCATTAATTTAATGCAACACCTGCCCTTTCATTCTTATATTTTACAATATTTACTGTATTATGCTCTATCATTATTGTAAGTGCTCTAGAAGAATTAACATATACTCTACTCTGTCTTTAATCTATTAATCTATATCATCTGACTACCCATCCATCCTCGAACTGGACCATCTACAAAAATGTTTCCCATGACTAAGAAAGATGAGAAACAAAAACCATAACAAGATCAAGTATTAAGGTGCAACATAACTAGGTTTAAATTAGCCAAATTCATCCTTTTCAACAAAGGCAAGAATACGACCCACATTTGATCCTCAGCAGCTTAACTGTGGTACTGTAAAAAGCCAGTAAATCTTGAATAAAGTTTTGAAGACGTTTATACTGTATAAGCGATTCTCAGCTACAAACATCTGCAATATTATCAAAATCTGCCGAGAATATTTAATCAGACAACAAATACGCTGCATTCTTGTCAATAACACCTATCAAAATTATAATTCCAGTTGCAAGTTGATAAAATCATAACTTTCACCTTGCAGCTGCACACAGGCCTGCTACATAGATCTCCCCATATTAGAACTATTTACCAAACATGTACAAATGATCAACCTGGAAGGCTGGATGAGGATCTGGTGACTGTAGGAACCGGTGGTGGTGGTTGTGTAGGTCTTCCTCCACGAACACCATTTTGGGGAATGTCCTTGGCAAGCAGTGGGTCAAAGATTTCATCTTGTGGGGACTCCAGAAAAATTAGATCCTGAGCCAGACCGTCCTGGAAGAGCCACGAGTAAATAGAACGAGCACGAGAAGCCCGTGAACAGTTATTATGCAGCTATATTTGTTAAAGCTTTTTCATCATGCACTAAATATTTCAGAGTTTTCAATAAGGTCAATGTTTTTCTTCATATGTTGAATATTAATAAAAGCAAACCAAAGCATACATGAAGTTTAAGGGTACATAAAAAAAGTAAAACTTCGCAACATTCACCCAATGGACCTGAAAAAAGCATGCACTGAAGCAGGCAAATGAAAAGCAGTTCTGGATCAAGCATATATTATCTTAAGGACACCTTCTATGCCTTATTAAAATTTATAAAATTAAAAAATAAAATAAATCATAACAAAGCTTAATAAATTGGCAACTATGCACCCTGTGAATTCAACAAATAATTAAATAAATTGCAACTCAAAATCCCAGACACCTAATGGGTAAAATGATGAAAATGTATTACCTCCTCGCCCAACCCCTGATCTAAGCCAAGGTGCGGGCTAGGGCTCCTTGTGCGGCGGCCTAGCGATGGGGGAGGTGGGGGTAAGGGGTTTAGGGGTGTCCGGGACGAGTCCCAGGGCTTGGGAGGATGAGCGGACATATTAGAAGGAAGTGGGCTGGAGGATCGAGGTGGTGTTGGTGCATAATAGGAATACTGAGGAGATGGAGAAAGGCTTCTTCCCTGGGGTAAGGGAGAGAGGCTTCTCCCTTGTGGGGAGGTAGTGCGTAGGGGTGGAGAAAGGCTGGTTAATACAGCTGGGAGACTCATGGTCATGATGTCTATTGGGTGAGAGGCAGAGAAGAAGAGAAAGTTACCAGCATAGCCAGGTCTAACGTGAGAGGAGGAGGTGGCCTGCGGTATATTTACAGGAGAACACAGGAGAGAATCTTCCGAGTTTTCTATGGCTTCAAACTCGGCTACTGGAGCTGTGTCATCTATGGATTTTGTAAGCTTTGAGTAAAAATACCCAGGAGTGCCCCCTTTAGTGGAATATTTGGACAAAGAAGCAGAAAAGGCTTTACTTGCACCATACTTGGGATAATCAATGCAAGAGGAGGGAGGTTCCAAACAGTCTACATGACGTAACCCCTTTGAGGATTTTGAGGAAGAAAGGATTTCATGCCCATGGTGAAAACACATCCTTGCAGAGGATAGAACAGAAGATGCATTACAAGTGCCAGTAAGATAAGATGTGGCGGGTGTGGTTCTACGAGCAGAGGCAGAACATTCAGACGCATGGCTATCACAGAACTGCCTGAGCGTGCCTGATTTGTTATGGCCTCTGGGAGATGTCGAGTGGCTTGTACATACAGCAGAGACGTTGGAGACAGAAGGGCGAGGAGAGGGAGAATGTGGCGAGAGTTGGGTTTGTCCCCAGATACTGTCATTTAACACAGAGGAACCATCGTCCCCATAAACAGTGTCGGCTGAATCAGTATCATCGTGCAGAAGCTTAGGCGAGCGAAAGTGCGAAGAGGAGGGGCTGCCTACAACATCCTCATCTTCACCACCACCAGTGTCATCATCAAAGGTGACAGGGAAACGGTAGCCAAAAGATGCCATAATGGGAGGAGGAAGTTCTATGTTTAAGGAGAGGTCAATGAGAGGGAGAGAGGTGAGGCTGGCACTCAGATGCTGCAAGAAACATACAATAGTGTCTTAGTTCTTCACCCTTAAATAGCTCCTTTCTTTTCAAATATTCCAAATCACAGTTACACCATTATTAGTAATACCCATTTCAGAGTTCATTGTAAAGTTAGTGATTATAAATACTGTACACGAGAATTGAATAAAATTAAGCTCTTTTACTAATTCATGATTAATCTAAAATAATTAAAAAATGTATGCCCATGAAATGTTTAAAGTCTGTAAATAATGATGTAGATGTATTGCAAAAAAAAAATATACAAAAATTGAAGAGTACAGTACAGTTGTCACAAGATGCTGCCATACAACAAATGATATATTTTTAATGTATGTGAAGAGTATACTGTACATCCCATAGACTGTTGAACATGCACATTGCAAGAAATTATTAGAGAGAATTTTAAAAGCATACATTCAATAGTGGTATATTGAACAACACCAATATAAGCCAACTGTACAGCCTACTTAAAATAATTTTTATTGTATAAACTAAATATTCTCAAAAATTCTCTCTCTTTATGATTATGCTACAGGTGTTTAATCAACACACCTGTCTAAAACTCTCTCGAGGTCTAATGAACAAATCTGACAATGTAATAATTAATGCATATGGTGGCAGATGGGAATCTGTAACCATTAAATAATAGTACCATACCTGCTTCACTTCCCACCGAGATCTCTAGCCATTAAATAATAGTACCATTCCTGCTTCACTTCCCACCGAGATCTCTAGCCATTAAATAATGGTACCATACCTGCATCACTTCCCACCGAGATCTCTAGCCATTAAATAATAGTACCATACCTGCATCACTTCCCACCGAGATCTCTAGCCATTAAATAATGGTACCATACCTGCATCACTTCCCACTGAGATCTCTAGCCATTAAATAATGGTACCATACCTGCATCATTTCCCATTACAGCATACAGTGTTCTGTAGCTAGCAAGTAAAAGCACCACACACCACCTTCACTTCTCATTCTCCCCGCCGTATCATCCGTCCCACCAATAACTTCTACAAGAAGCTAAATGATGCTAAAATCTATGTTGTATTTATTATACACAGGCATTAAATTGTTTGGATTGTCTAAGAGCTGCCCTGCCGCAAGGTCGGTGGAATGTTCAGAAAAATAAAGAAATATAATCAAAGCTTGAAAACTATCTCAAAAACTTCTCATGGACAATTAAAGTACTATTGTATATATTATGTTGAATATAATTTGCATCAAAACAGATTTACCGGTAAATGTTATTGTGGCTGAGAGAATGTTGCTAAATGTTTTATCAAGGTATGAATTCTGAGGTACAGCTGGACAAGGTAATGTCATATTTTTGAGCAAAATCAGCCTAGTGCTTAAGCACTATTCTTTACATCAATTTAACCTCTCATTAAAATTACTGAAAATTATTATGTATTCTCAATAACAAACAAGGCTTTTAGCTCAAACTACGTCTTAACCAACAAAATATGCAGATGTTTCTTAACAGCCAAGCCAAGTACCTGAGCTTCTAGAGCAGAACCTAAACAGAACAGAACAGTACAATGCCTTGTCACAGTATTAGAAGATTGCTTAGACAGTGAGAGATAAGTTCTAAAGCACACCATCTCATCTGTTATGCAACAATGAGAAGAATAATACCATATCCTTTGAGAGATTGAGCCAAGAGACACCAAGCATGTATTAAGATGCTGCATTTCACTTTTACAACCTTTGTGTTCACACAATATGTAATATAATAATGGATAGCCACAGAGTAATGGAAACTGTAAGGGGTTTCAACACTTTTTTATACTGAATATATAACATCTTCACAAGCCAAAATACATAATAGCACTTGAGCAATATCTAGTTTATGCTTCCTTCATGGGTCACCATTATACAATTTGTAATCACTCACTGTACAGTATTACTTGTGATTTGTAGCCAATATCTTTAATAGCCAATAACATCTTTTAGTCCAGAAACATTTTCACCTCGACCCATACATATGCACACACTGGTATAAGGATAACAGATAGTTAGACCAGTTAGTCTTACTGGATGTATCCTTGACACTGGTTTACAGTTTGTTAGCTTTGCATGTGCTCATTATCTCGTAGTTGCTACGATGATGTAATAGAAGTTGTGAAGAGTGAGTGTTTCACATGCTGGTGGGAATGTTACTGTAGAGGATTTGTAGTTTTGGATTTGTGTAGATGTGATGGTGCCGATTCTTCGTAATAATGTAGCGAAAATAACTATTCGACAAAACAAAATATATACCGATCTGTACACAATTGACTAGTGTTTCTCTATACAGCACTGTAGTTGACCTGTAGTAAATTTCACGAATTCATATAATTTCCAAGTCCTGGGGCCAGGCTCATCTGGTGATTATCAGTAAGGCTATTGATAGAAGTGGCCAGCAGGCCTTCATATCCACTATGGCCCAACTGATCCAGAAATTCCAGCAGGAACTATTTAATTTCCCCTTAAAAAATGGGGAACAAAAAAATTTGTTAGAGATTTTTTTTATATTTGTTGGAAGGAGGTTGAGGAGCCATTGGCCTGGTTCTCATAAGCTTTTCACAAAATATTAACACTACTATTAACAACACATTGAAGAGATATTTGTATACTTTTCACACTAATACAGGAGTACAGTCAAACCACTAACATCAAGTAATTATCAAAGGAAGGCATCAAGAACACCATGTAGTACCATCAGTGTTGTGGGATATTCAAAAGGCACTCAATATTATTCAAGATGCCAATACAAGAACAAAATGACATTCTGAACAACATCAAAAGTATCAGATTCATCCAAGAATTCTATCGAGGGACAAGTGACCCCCGAGGGACATTAGAAAAGAAAGACATGATCATCCTAAAAATCAGGACATTCCACAAGGAGGTGCACAACTGTAAATGGGACAATGCCATTCGGACAATAAGGAGAGGGACATTGTTCCATTAAATGCTTGAGTTAAAATTATGTGGCCTATAAACAGCCTAGTCAGAGCTGCTTACCACCACTTATTACTGTGGTAGGAGAAAGAGGATAAAGTTATGTAATGAGTGCGTTGATTGTTACACATACTGTAATGCCTGACCATCAACCTTGCCAAGAGTCACAGATTACAGAATGAATGACTGGGTAGAAATCTGAATGCAGAATCCCTTTACAGGAAATTGGACTGGCATGAATAGCCTTCTTAGAAGCAGTGTTTGCAAGGTTATTCAAAGTAACATCAATATGAGTAGGTACCCAGCAAAATTTGACTGTATTAAATCTGCTAAAGATAAGAAACAGCTAGCATTGGATTTCAACAACCACAGGATGCAAAGGACTCAAGGCCAAAAAAGGGCACTTTGAGTCAACCACAATGACAAACGAATGGTGATTCATAGAAAATAGCTGGCAAGAATTTACAAAATTGCATAAAGTTCTGATGTGAAGATGCTAGTCTCTGGGGGCACACAGTACCTATCTTCAGGTTATCTTGAGCTGATTTCGAGGCTTAGCGTCCCCGCAGCCCGGTCCTGGACCAGGCCTCCATTTTGTTACACACCCCCAGGAAGAAGCCCGTAGCAGCTGTCTAACTCCCAGGTACAGTATCTATTTACTGCTAGGTAACAGGGGCATCAGGGTGAAAAAACTTTTTGCTCATTTGTCTCCACCTCCACCGGGGATCGAACCCGGAACCTCAGGACTACGAATCCGAAGCGCTGTCGACTCAACGTTCCGGCGATCCGCCATAGGCGATTCCAAGTCTATAGAACATATAGATTTGATCAGGAAAAATAGCCAAGTAGCCAACACATTCATTATATGAAAAGAACAAGAATGTGCAAATGACAAGGAAAATGTTCAAAGAAAAGGGGGTTTCATGACGGTAATAAGAGATGTACAAGCTTTCATCGTGAGGGTCTGGGCTATGCATAATTTCCATTAAACAAAATAAGCACCATTTCCTTGACACTATGATGCCTCGTGCAAGCCCACCCGGAACACTGAGATTGGATTCCACAACCGACCAACTTATTCAGAAAAGTTTTCAGTCATATTATTCCAGATAGCTTTATATTAAAGAAGATACCATTCATATCCATTTTTACTATGTACAGTACTATTAGCAAATATTTACTAAAAGAAATAGAAAGTCTGCTGAAAAGTAATATACATAGGTGACAATCTGGAGTTCATCATGACCAATCATTAGCCTAAATCCTGATTTAGGCTAAAAAAATTATACAAATTTTCATTAGGCAATATGATAGCAAAACTGGTCCATTATTTACATGGATACTTTATATGGAGGTCCGGATATTGGAGGTGGCACTGTACTGTTATGTGAATAACATAATTTCATTATATTTTCAACCTGCCTTCACCCAAACACAGCAGCTAAGTCTGGGCACTGTATGCTTCTAGAACTAATGATTACAGTACCAGCCAAGGAAAATTAGGTGTGTTGAAAAAGGCTTTACTGCTTTCAACATGGTAAAACACCACACACACACTTCATGCTTTGCCACTTAGTATAAATTAATATGTTGTATTATGTCGCAATATATATCACATACTATGGCCATATATTAATATTGTTTAGTAAAATTTTCCCAACAATTTCTTCAAATTTGATAGTGCCACTGTCTAGTAGTTTTCAAAATTACCTGTACTTGAAATTTCATTACAGTATTACTGTTACTATTACACTGCATATGTTACATATTACACACGAGTTATTATACAGAAATCCTCTAACTAGTATACTAACCAGAGAATAAGTCACAATAATGTGGATCAAGACAAATAGCCAACATACACTTATGGGTTAGTATACTAACCAAATTATTTTTTAGGAATTTATGCAGAAAAGATCAGATTGGAATGTTTGAAAAAAATCAGTACAGTATTTTAATCCCATTTCTAACCAAAGTCAACTATATTAGGAGTCAGATGTGGCCTCGGGCCGGGTTCGGGGAGTAAAAGAACTCCCG